TCTTGAAGATAATATTCAATTACTCTATTTTCAACCAATGAATTCAATACCAACAGATCTAAAAAAAATTAGTCAAGATGGACAATTACAACATGATGATAATGATTATCATCAAGATTGTCAACATTCATAATGATTAGTACAAAAAATTCAATATCTCTTTACCTATTAGTTATGTTGATTAAAACTACATATTTAAAGATTGAAAATAAAGTACGCTGTTAATCTTTATCAAAAAGATGTTCCGCCATTTTATCGATATATTTTCAAAAGCTACACAATAAAAGAAAGAGTTGCGAAACATAAAAGAAAAAAGATATCGTACTGTTTAGAGTACACACAATTCTTTAGTTTTGGCTTTCTCTATTTCTTGAGTGTTTTATGACATCATATAATTATTCGACCTGTAGAAAATATTTCGCATACTCTGTTTGATCTTCTAGCTTGTGTGAATAGTTTATATTCATTCAAGACTTTACAAAAAAATAAAACTGAATAAAAAGACACTAACATCAATTTCTATAACAGTTTCTCTAATGAATGATAGATCGAGACAAGTTTTAATACTTCCACAATATCTTGCTTTACTGTATTTTACCATTATGATCAGCTCGCAATTGATTTTTCGTTCAAAAAGAGAGAATGTACCTTCAAAGAAAAATAAATGCTGACTGTGATTTAAAAGAATGTTATCTGTAATTCAGTTTATACTAAACAATGTTCTTCTCATACAGATTCACTAATGAATTAATTGAAATAAGAAAAATAAATTCAATATGAGCGAGGTTGTATATGTACAAAAGAACTTGCAAATGGACCCTATCACTGGTCATGACAACGATTGCTCAACGAAATTGTAGAGAAATTAACATGGCAACGACATAAATGTTCACTTTGTTTTGCTTTATCGAAACTCTTTCTCCATAATTTACTTTCTCAGTTGAGTTGGTTTATATAATTATTAATACAGTCAATTCAAAACTGCGTGTGTATATCAATCATACGCATTGTGTGATAGGAGCTATGTGCAATTCTGACACATTTCCCATTAGTAAAGTCTAAGTTAGCTCTTTCTGATGACTAATGCGAACAGCAAAAGCAAAACCAAACAGTTAAAATTGCCTTTCATTCTGTGGCTCCTACGTTGTTAATGAAACTGTATCTATTTTAAAAAGGTACTTAGATATAATTTTTCATTTCTACAATATTCTATATTAGGTTGTACTGTTTTGTTTGAAATGAGAGAGAATCACCGAGCATATGATCTATCGGTATTATGTGACGATGTTTTTATATATTGTAGAAATAATTTTTTTCAACTGATTCATAATTTAGTTGTAAATGATATTCTTGAGATATTGAAAATACAATGCATTAACAATATTTTAACTGAATTGTCCCGATTTATTACCAATTAAAGAACAATTATGTTCCAAATTATCAAGCAGAAGTTCCCCCATCTGAATTGATATAGAAAGCCATTTGGAATATTTGACTGATATTTTAAAATTAAACAGAATCAGTGTTACTTATTTTATGCAAAACTTGGGTGTGGGTGGATGTGGGTGTGGGTATGGGTGTGGGTGGTGTGGGTGTGGGTGTGGGTGGGTGTGGGGTGTGGGGTGTGGGGTGTGGGGGGGGTGTCATCTTCATCTTGATTGAAACCCACATCCACACCCACACCCGCATCCACCGACACCCACAGGACCCACACCCATACCCACACCCACACCCACACCCTTTGTAGTCGACAAAACCAAAAAGCGGTGAGAAAACACTGAAAAATGATTACAGTTTATGACACTAATGATCACAAACTTTGCACTCTTCTAGGTATTCATTAGTTGCCGAGGCTTTATAATTTTTGAATAAATTAAACTGATTGTGATAGACGGGATATTTAATTTGCGGCAAAGTGATATACAATTGCAGAAGTTAAATAAACAAAATTTATTTATCTGTGATCATTAAACAACGGTAGTAACGGACTTCTTAATTGTTAAATGAACCAACAAAACGCGTTTGAATAACTTCGCATTTAAAAAAGCGAAATTTTAAGTTAAAAATTCAAGGCATAGATTAGAGATTTGAGAGTTATATTTTCGGTTGTCCTTTATTGATGACTCTAAAAACCAGGATTTGTGAGTAAACATTTGATTCGCAAATGTCATCACTATAGTTTTTTTTTCAAGAATATCAGATGCTGCTCTTATCGCAACGTTACTCTATAAGATCAAAGCATGCAATGATAAAAATCCAAGTTATAATGCATTGGCGGATGAACTTTATGGCACAACCTTTTAAAATAAATTTACATGATATTTAATGATTTCCTTTATTGGAATAGGTATGACTACATTGATCAAACAGTAGATACTCAAATGATTATTTTTTCGACTATTATGTTTCGATACAGTGGATTTCTTCAATATCATCAAGAAATGGTTGAAAGAACGGAACAATATCCTTCGAAAAGTTATGTATGTTGAAGAAGAGCTTAATTTAGAATCTTTTTTTCCTTTGTAGAATTCTCGTCAAAAATCAAGTTTTATTCATTATGATACATTACGATTAAAACATCAAATGAATAAGTAAAACAATTTTAATCTAAATTTTAATCTTTTATCAGTGATTGCTGTTCTAGAACAACAGACAAAGCACACTTAAGGTTAATACAAGATGTGCAGGACAACGAGGAGGGAACCATTCGCGTTGTTAATACTCATCGCTGGAAAAAGTATTTTGAGAAAAAAACTTTACATAGAAACAATGGCATATCTTCCCTTTTAGAACAAAAACTAGTGTCAATCAATATTTGAAGAACGTTTTGATGTTTCTGCATGCTCCATATGTTAAATATTTTTACAACTTAGTAAGACACCTCAGATTGGGTAACTCATCGCTCAGATCAGTGAATGGCGGTGGGTGTTGTACAGACAAATTTCAGAGGCAGAAAGTGTGACATTTTACGCACACCTGAGATATCCAACCACTATTTTTTTCTGAGATATTCATCAAGTCATAAAAACGAAGTCTTATATTGATTTATTTTCATATTTCAGTATTCTTACGTCCTTTTTCTTATTCTCTTCTCCTACATAATTCTATGCGATTTGTTTTCCTCTTTACGAATTTCAATTGAATAAATGTACGACAAATGGTGAAATCAATATCGACATTGATAATTCTAATGATAATATTAACAAACAATCATTGACAACATTGAATAATAATTGATCATTTCATTACGATCTTCACTGACATAATCGACTAGCAACAACTGAAATTATTCTAATTATATGGTATTTCACTTTGTTCTGCGATGAAATACGACAAGTAATAATAATTATTAAGAATTGATTTTTCGTTTGAATAATAGATGTCCTATTTTTTTTTAAAGATTTTTTCCATTGAATTAAAATCAATTTACGACAAAATTATAACATATATATCCACACTTGATATTTTTGCGACTTTTAAACGTCTCGGTTCTAAACTAGTTATGATCTCAGTAAAACCTGCTTTTTAAGTATCAGGTTATCTGTATGTGAAGTAACTCGCTTTGTTGTACAGCTTTTTGCTATGAATACTGATGCTTGAACTTTTGTTTTCAATTAACGTACATGACCTTAAATTTTTCATGCTAATGCTGAGTGTCTTTATTTTGGCGTTTGGTATATCTACCTATAGTCTCATATATGGTGTTCAAAAATTGACTTGGCATCTACTGCGTGCTATTATAAATCTTGCTTACTGATAAATATTTGGTGAATTAGAAGCACTTGATGACATTGAGAGTGAGTCTTTGTTAAAAAACACAGTCACATATCAAATTTCTTGTTCTGGACGGTTGGGTGTGGGTAGGTAGAATAAGAATTATTCATACCCACACTCACAACCTTTTGCTGTTTTGAAATAACCATGTGCAATCAATTTCAATTCCAATTTCTGGAATTAGTAATGGCGCATCTCTCGCTAGGATTAATGTTGGTCAGAGTTTTTTCATAAAAAATTTACATTCCTGTTTCAAATGGGCCAAGTATATCATTTTTTACATATACATTCGATGCATGTTTAAATTTGCAATTCTCTGGCTCTCATAAATTCGAATGTATCGATAGTGCATTGATGGCTGAATACACAATGGGCAACACTACAACCGCAATACGAACATTTTCTCCAGCCGCTGCGCTCAAATATTCTTAAGTCGATTTGTCAACTGGAGAAAACTTTGCCATTTTAATTGCGATGATCATGTTTTTTCCCACTTGTGCATACTTTTCGTTGAGATTTGTTAAAAATAAAAGTGGATAATCGTGATCTTTGCTCATCGAGTCAGATGTCCACAAAATTGATTATTCGACTATTTTTTCGTGTATGCGCTTCTGCAATGACTAATCTTTTCAGATTCTTGAAAGATCCACTTTTATAGATTTCGATAGTTTGAGATTCTCTACCAGTGGAAGAGTTGTCGACATTGTCTATATGAATTAGCACAACCAGTGGTCAATGATTGAATAGAAATCGACATGAGTAGGTCAGTACTGTACAACAGATGTGATCTCTTGGCAGCTCAGGAAGCGATCGAATGTCCTCTATGAACTATGAAAAGCACTGTCTAGAACCATCTTTCAAGAATCGACTGTCAATCAGATAAGTTAAGAACACATCTAAAATGATGGTGAAGATGCTAAGAAGTAGCTGAATTCGTAAACTCGTAAATTCACACAAAAATTCGTTACTTTGTAGCGAATTGACGAAGGCTACACTGCTCCTCTTAATAACTTTTTGCTATTGTATGTGTTGATGATCTTTGATCAAAACATCACATTCAGAATCCTTTTGATCTTTTTTTCTAGCAACAATATTTCCTTTTCACTATTTGGCCATAATGAAATAAAATAAAATAAAAATATGTGTACTTGTCTGTATTAACAAGTATATTACAGCAAAAACTTAAGATCAATTTTGAGAAACCTTGCTGATTCTTTACTGTTGACTTATGGATGATTGATATATTGATAAACAGTGACACCTGTCCAGCAACCAGTTAAGAGTTTACCTCCAGAATAATGCCAAGGGTGAAATTCTTTTCTCATCACAAAATAAAGATTAGCTAAATTAGGATATGTTTTGGTCTCGCTGACTTGAAACATGTTAATGTTTGCATCACGAAGATAATTCACAGCATCAGTAGTCATAGCAGGTGGAACTGAACCTTTATATACGGTAGTACCATCAGGAAAAGCTAAAGAATGGAAAAACAGAAAATAAGTGACAACACGGTAATAGAAAAAAAAGTTATTTACGAGGATTTTCGTAAGGACATTTGACTCCTTCTCCCCAAGGTCCATTATAATCTTGAGGATTTGCTTTTTGACCCAAACCAAATTGAGCAAGACCTGAAATAGAAATTCTACTAATTTATTTAGATTTTATTATTTTGTTGAATTAGACTGATCTAAATAGAAAAGAATATAAATCTTTTTCGTGATTGTTCATTATTCAGAATACACAGAAGAACAAAAGGCACTGGAAATTCAAATCGATAAAAGAAACAAATAGACAATAACTCTCATTGTTATCGATGACATTAAAAGAATATTTTCGCTTATTGGATTAGATTGTTTTATGAACAAAAAAAAAACCAACATCACAAAACAGAATTCGTTGATAGAGAGATAGACAACGAAAGAATGAAGGAATAAAGTATGTTTTCGATGCTAAAGCAACTGTTTTTGCTTTGCAGCCATTTCACTTGCTGCAATAATCAAGTATTAATAAATAGGAAATAAGGACAATAATGCGTTCGTATGAATGCAGTCGAGAAACAAAGGTCGGTAGCTCTGACAATTATTTACCTTGATCTTGCGGGCATGAAACTTGAAACAGTAAAGCCCTGTGGCTTTGACTTTCATGGAACCAAGTAAGAACAAAAATTATGTTTCTTTAAATGATGATGAACGTGATAAAGTATGACATGATTGGAAAGAAAATCGAAAATCATTTCCAACTCTGACATCAGTTATACGAGAAATGTTAACAATATCTGTTGTAAACACTTAGTTAAACATCTGTTTTCTTCATTCAAAAGTAAATTTATATCGTACAACTTTAGCTGCTTAAAAAGAACTTGATTTCATTTACAACAGATCTTTTGTAAAAATATAATGGATGATGCTCCAGAAAGAAACAATATCAATCAACAACAACAGATAAACAGTGGATAATAAAAAAAAGCCTCAGTGATTATGCCTTTTTCCAAGTGAAAATATTCTTGTTAAGTACCCGGCGAATTTGATTTTTTCTTATTTGTCTTTTATTTTTGCTATGAACAGAACTCATATCGTTGTAATGGTCTTATTTTACAGGATTAATCGTTTTTTCTCATTTTCTGCTTTATTCTGCGTTTCACATGAGTCAGCGGCAGCGGAATGACTCTGAAACTATGCAAGCTCAAGGAGAAGAATATGAAGAAAAAATAAATTTCTGCTAGAAAATGTTCAAAATATGTGAGTACCAGGATACCTATAACTCCCATAGTTCCACCACATCTGCGATGACTATATAAATAATATTGATTTTTTTTAAATTGTAAGTTATTTTGCTCTTGACTTGCGGCTCAGCTTTGCCCGACGTTAGTCACTAGACTATACTTTTTGCTTATTCTCGACAATAGTACTAATGCAATAATGTAATAGATAAAAAAAAACAGAAAAAAGTTTTGATCAACATTCGAACCAGAGTCATTCTTTCACATGACATGACTGAATTCAGGATGATTTTCGATGTAAGCA